CCTAGCCAACGCGCCAAGCTCTCCTCCCTCTACAACACTATGTGGTTTACCGGCTCGATCATTGCCGCCGCTACGACTCTTGGCACTTTCCGAATTGACGGCGGTGCTTCTTGGCGCATTCCATCGGCCATGATGGGTCTCGTTCCAGTCTTGCAGATGATCATTATTTGGGTATGTCCTAAAGTCCGGTTGCAAATTCGCATTCTGACCTTCGTCTAGTTCCTGCCCGAGTCCCCCCGTTGGTTGATGGCCAAGGGTCGCGAGGAAGAGGCCGTCCGTGTGCTCGCTAAGTACCATGCGCTTGACCGGGGCAATATCCACGACGAATTGGTTCAGTTTGAACGCGAGGAAATCAAGGAGGCTCTCCGTCTAGAGGCTGAAGCCGCTCAGAACACCAGCTACCTTTCCCTCCTCCGCACCCCAGGAAACCGCCGCCGTCTCCGCATCGTTGTTGCGATTGCCTTCTTCTCTCAATGGTCTGGAAACGGTATTGCTTCGTACTACTTGAACATTGTCTTGGAGCAAATCGGAATCGGTGTCAATGACAAGGCACAAGTGCAATACTTCAACCTGGGAATGGCTATCTACTCTTGTAAGTCTATAGTTCTTGCTGAAAGTGCACTACTGACTTTAATTCTAGTCATCATTGCCACCACCGCCTCGCTGTTCGTTGAGAAGATCGGTCGTCGCAAGTTGTTCTTGACTTCGAACGCTGGCATGCTCTTCGCCTATGTTCTCTGGACGACTGGTGCTGGTGTCAACGCGAACAACACCTCGAACAAGAATGCCGCCAACCTCGTCATGGCAGCCATCTTCATTTTCAACGGTTTCTATGCGATTGCGTACACCCCTCTCCTCGTTTCTTACACTGTCGAGATTACTCCCTTCGCTATTCGCGCCAAGATGTTCGCCGTCATGAACGTTGCCGTTACCGCCTCCCTCGTTTTCAACCAGTAAGTTTATGTGCTTGCGTTTCTGAACTAGTACTGATTACCATCGGTAGGTACGTCAACCCGATCGCTCAGGATAAGCTCAAGTGGAAGTACTACATTGTCTACGTTGTCTGGCTCTGCTTCGAACTCGGCTTCATCTGGCTGTACGCTGTCGAGACCAAGGGTCGCTCTCTCGAAGAGACCGCCGCCCTGTTCGACGGCGAGGAGGCAGTCAAGGAGCTCGAGCATCGTGCTGTTCACGATCTCGCTACCCCGAGCACTCCATCCGACGAGAAGCTCGAAGGAAAGGTGTAATTGTGTACGAATTCTTTTTGGGTTTGTTTTATACTCTCTATTTACCTCTCGGATTTGTTGTACGACTTGCGTCAATATATCACAGTTCCTATCTTCATTTGGCATACGGTTGATTGATTGTGTCACTGATCGCGAAGAATAAGTCAGCTTCTACCCAACTCGCTCCCAAATTCAAACTGACATGGGGTTTGTGCGCAAGTTTATTATAATGTGTTTGTAATACTGAAGCCGCTGGTTGACGGGATTATATGTTCTTGTGTCACCACGATCGGTGGATGTATTGGTGGCACGATCTTTTGCATGGGCACGATTCTCCCTGGTCGGTAGTACGCATGCGATTCGCGTGGCCATGCTATTAATCTGACGGGCGTCCTATTGGCGATGGACTGAAAATAGCAATTGCTAGCTCCGGGAATTGCATTATGGATATTCTTGAGTTTTGCGTATGTGTGCTAGTAAGTAAAAGAGCGATAAATCGGCCACCATTGGTCTCCTCTCGTTTCACAACATGACTCAGCGTTCAGATTACTGTGAATACACTTGGATACGAACCTTCAACTTCACAGTTTGGCTGCCGACTGCGCGTCTAAACTGGACAGCCCTTTAAGGTATGGCGAATTGCCCTGACCATTGTTTCGTGTGTGGTGTAAATCATTGCGTCACTCGTCAACCACGTCACTGCGCGCATCGAGAATAAAAGGGGCTTCGCGCAAACTTGCCCCCAAGTCATCCGGCCTGATAACATGGGGTTCGCATGAGATTATTATGTATTCGTTGATTATGCTACTTACGCCGATTGACAGTTGTATATGTTCGTGCGTTGCTGCGATCATCGGATGTATCGGCGACACGATCAACGATTGCATCGCGTGTATTACCGGATGCATTGAGGCGATTATTGCAGGTAAGTTGTATTTTATTCACGTGCTTGTCGATCTGACCGGCGTTCCCTGAATGATCGACTGGCAATATAGCGATCACCGGTTGTATCACCGGGATTTGTGATTGTATCACTGCTTGCCTGTGTTGTGGGTGAGTTGGGCGTCAAGCTTTAATAAACGAATTGCTAAAGCGTGCTATAGGCGACCGGAGAGTAGAAGATACTAGCGATCAGTCTGCTGCTATCGAATGACCCTCTTGGATACCCCTCGGCCTGATATCATACTGTTTCGTATTTTAAATCATCGTGCATACGCGCGTTAGTAAATAATGCCGTTCCCCCTCAATTTTCCCGAGTGGACTGCCACTCGAGCATCCGAAACATCCTTTCCTAGACATCTACGCGGCCGAACCCCAAGTGGAAGGTCAAGGGGAATCTAGGGATATTGGTCCTAACTTGGCCCCGGAATGGAGCTGTCGGGGTCGGGTGATATTTGCCTACCACAAGTCAGCTAACAATATAATAAAACCCACCTAGTCCCCCCGGATTTCTCGGAAACCATTCTAGTGGCTGGGCTGGAAAACCCTCCATCATTTTCTGCATGAATTATACGCACTATTAGTATTCCCCCGTTTTGTCAGCGAGCCGTGTTCAGCTCATCAACACTCATCGGGAACGCCCTATTTTTTCGACTGCAGGTTCAAATCCACCCCGCTATCGGAATATCCCCATACGATAGTGAGTCAAGTATTCGTGCACGGAGGCTCATATCCTGGTGATGTGTATCATCCACGGATCTTATTAAGCGGAAGCCCTTTTGGGCTATGGGTCAATAACATTTCCCTCAGTTATGGGTAAGGGAATCATAAAGCCAGGGCACGTTCAAAAATATACATAAAAGACGTCAATTGAAATCACAATCCAAGTCAAGTTAGGCAGTTATTTATGAAAACACACAACCTTTGCATTGGGCACAAAAATAGTCACCAAGGGAATCAGGCCTGCCCATCATTGTACGGACAGGGTATGTATCACCTCATATATGTGTCGTATTGACTATGTATGCGTGGTCAGGTGTGCAGGTGTTATATTACATAAGCCTGAAGCGTAATTCTTGAGTGGTCTTGCTCGATGGAATAGAGGGCCTATGGAAACACATTTCGGGCCATCCTCTTTTTCGCCCCCTCCTTGGTGATTCCAGGGTATAGATTCGCTGGGGTAGAGGCGAAAACTTGTAAATTCGAGTTGGGTTGGACTAGACGGCGCAGGAACTGGGTCGATATCTTAGTCGGATAGGGGGGATTCAAATCTATGCTCAAGAGTCAATAGGTGTGGGTGTATGTGAGTATTGTCGCCCCAGTCAATCCAGTACCACAGGACAACAGATTAAGTATCCAGACAAAAGGTACTATACTTTAGCGGGTTTCCCCCTGAAAATAAGCTTATTTGTAATGCTTTGACACTAGCATTCATCTGCACTGGAGGGGGGGACTTTTGGTAAAACACCTTTCAGACCGTGAGCACTACTTTCTTCATAGCTTTTGATAGAAAAATGTTCTAAAATGCCATAAAAAGGTAAACGAGCACAGCCAGGATCGAACTGACGAACTTTGGTTCAGATTACGTAAGCATTAGGTCAGCCATAACACTTAAATCGAAGACCAACGTGGTAACCACTCCACTATGCGCCCTTGTTGTTTCTCACGCTTTTACCCCATACAAACCTTTATATGCCTTTCTTGCTAAATTTTCTTGATCTGATCGAGAGTCTTCAAACACCGCTGCGGTCATCGTAAGCCGGAAACTTGGACTCTAATGGCTCGCTTCCTCATTGCAGGTCTGGGCAACTACCCATACCCAAACACCCGCCACAGGTTGGATTGTTTCCCTTCCCTTCCAATATTCAGGTTTATCAAAGGCTTCTCTTCAGTGTTGGCCAGGTAGTGCTAGATTCGCTAGCTGGAAAGTGGAACGTTACTTTAGGGTACCAGCGAAAGCATGATGCATGGCTAGGAACAAAGAACGTCGATATCCCAGGGACTGGTCCTGTCGACATTACCCTGGTAAAACCTAGTATGTCACCACGATTAAAGGACCCTCTGCTGCTGTCTGACCTGGTGTAACACCTTCGAGAATTGTTGATGAATATATCTGGACCCACCGTCACCTCTGTTTTGAAGACTTTCCCTGGCAACTGTCGTACCCCTCGAAATGTGATACTCCTCCAAGATTCATTATCGCACCCACCCCTTGCTGTCTCACCAAAGTTTGGTGGCTCTGCCAACGGGCATAACGGCGTGCGTAGCGTAATTGCATCAATGGGAAACATGGCCTCAGAGTTCCCTATACCCAAACCCGCGAATGACGAATTTCACCGCATACGCCTTGGAATAGGAAGACCTGTGCACAAAGCGGCTGACGTAGCGGACTATGTGCTCGGACCTTTGAGCCGGGAAGAACTAGGCTGGTGGGCGTATGGAGGGGAAGGGTTGAACAAGGTTGTGGTTGCATTAGAAGCTATCATCAAAAAGTCTTCGTAATAGACTCGTGTGGTATTAGCCTATTCACCA